CCACAGGTGAGTTTGCTAGTTACCACTTTTTGACCAGTGCCTGATCACTTGGAGAAATGTGTTCTGGGAAAGCCTTTGCCTTTCAATCCTGCTGTTTGTCCCCACACTCTGAACTCCAGGGGACAAACAGGCAACTTTTTAATATCCCTCCCTTTCTCTCTCTCCTTGTTCCAGACAGTTTCTGTCCTATCAATGAGGCTTGCATTATGGTGAAGCCTTGAGATTCTCTGCAGGTTTGGTGAGTGATTTCTTATACCTCAAGGTGATGTGGTAAGTGCACAATTTAGCTGCTGACCAGGGCGGGAATGCTGTGGCCATGAGACCTGCTCTATGCCCATCTTTTGATTCTGTCTGGAGTGTAAATGCTTTCCCTCTCTCTGCCACACCTGCACACCCAACTCAATTGCTTAGCGCTGTCTTATAAAGAAACAGATGGTGCACAATGAAGCATAAGTGATTGTTAACAGAATTATTAGGGGCTATTCTTTATTATTGGTGCTACAATAGTGTCTTGGGATGTCAGTTGCAAAGCAGCACCTCATGGTGCTAGATACTGTACAAACACAGAAGACTGCAATTTTGCTAAGTCTGTATTGAATCCCTGTATAATGCCGTAAGAGGCAGACAAAGACAGGCAGGTAGGCAAGCAGGGGAGCACAAAAACATTGCCAGCATCAGGATAGACTGACAGTCTTAACAAAGTAGCTGCCACATCATTTAATATTTGCTTAACAAATGTTTGGAGTACTCAGCTTTAGAGTGGCAAGGCTTGCCCCAGGCTTTCCTGGAATTATATGGCTTTCTGTCTGTGCTGTGAAAAAGAAGATTCCCTCACAGAGCTTATAGTGAGCATAAGATCACCATCATCTGTTCAAGGATGAAGGCAGTTACTTTAGATTGCCTCAAAATCTAATATCTCTAACGCTCCCTGCAAACTGCGGAACGGATAAAAATATACTGAGATTTGAATCAGGGTTTTTTCATGCTAGTTTTAGTTTTATGGCATGAGGTTTGAGAATGAAAAAGGGGCAATTTTCCCCTTAATTTTCAGGAAATGTGCAGAGAACAAGAAAATCAGACCACTGCATTAACTTCATATTTGTCCCCAAATCTCAGACAGGAGTAAAAGGAAGGAATCAGGCAAAACAACAAAACCCCATTACTGCAGCAAAACTGCCTCCAAAGTCAAGAGCAGGCTGATTTGAGGAAATCAGGACTGAAGCCTCAGCTTGATACACTGAGATTTTATCTAGTAATGATTTAGAGGATTGTGACCAATCTTACTGTACAAAACCTGTGCTATTTCCCAGTGTGAGGACCTGTATGTCCATAAATGCTCAAAACATCTTGAAAGATACTGCGAATGGTAAGAGAGGAAGGGCAGTCAGCATCTCCTGATCTCTAAGAATTTGCTTTTGGACTGTTTAGGCTGATGCAAGCCCACACTGCTGCCAGAAGGGGCCAGGCCACCTTCCTTCTGCTGCCCTGGGCTAAACATTCCTGTCTTCTCCTTTCTGCCCTACTAGTGCTTGTGAGGTTGTACAGCCAGCCAGCTCAGGAAACCAATCCACCTGAGAAGCCACCCCACATAAAGGTAATGATTAGTTAAGGATCAGTTCCGTGATGCAACCCATTGAGTGGTTACATCAATGCTGGTACCAGCTGAAGGGAGGAGGCACAATAGCCCTTTGTTCCCATACCCTACACTTTAAAAAGAACATCAAACCCTGCTGTAAATACCTGCATGTGCACAGTAATCATCAGTAATGATGCAGCTATTGATTACAGACATGATATGAATGTTTTGGCGCAGGCTCCATTCTTCTTTTACTTCTGGCTCTGCTAGGATATTAGTGTGAACAAGGATCTTAATATGTATATACACATGACTTATAGGGAAGTCTTGATATTGTATCATTCTGCATCTACACAGCTACAGACTGGGACAGAGAAGCAACCTAGTAGGGAGTGAACAGTTTTTCACTGATCCTCCAGATTTGCTGAATGAATGGTCTAGTCATCAGTGAAAGGAGTTATTATGTGTTTATATAATACATATGCTTGTGTACATATAGAAATTGTTAAAGTTCCTATCCTCACTTGAAACTGAATCCTTCATATTTCATTGGAAGGGGGAAATTTCACATGTGTGTTGGGGCATGTGCAAGCCTGAAGGAGGTAAAGAGGCTGGTGGCTGCAGCAGTGCACATGTCTCTGTCTGTAAGTCTACGCTGTCTGCATTGTTTGGACATTGAAATGGAGTGGACAGAAAAAATGCAGGCATGCTTTTATGGTTAGCCTGCAAAAATAAATACTGTGTACCTAACTGTATGAGCTCAAGGGACAAGAAAGACCTCTGTGAGATCAACAATGGCATCCGCAAAGACAAAGATGGGTGTCCTGGTTTCAGCTGGGATAGAGTTAATTTTCTTCCTAGTAGCTGACATAGTGCTGTGGTTTGGATTTAGGATGAGAATAAGGTTGATTACACAGGGATGTTTTAGTTGTTGCTGAGCAGTGCTTACACCAAGTCAAGGACTTTTCAGCTTCTCATACCACCCTGCCAGCAAGGAGGCTGGAGGTGCACAAGGAGCTGGGAGGGGACACAGCCAGGACAGCTGACCTGAATTGGCCAAAGGGATATTCCATACCATATGGCGTCACGCTGAATAAAAACTGGGGGGAGTTGGCCCGGGGGGGCATGGCCGCTGCTTGGGAACAGGCTGGGCATCAGTCAGTGGGTGGTGAGCAATTGCATCGTGAATCACTTGTTTTGTGTATTCTTTTTTTATTATTATTATTATTAT